TTTTAAGATTTTATCCATTTGAGAGAGAGAGAATGAGAGACAGCACAAGAGGGAAGAGGGTCAGAGGGAGAAGCAGACCCCCCGCCGAGCAGGGAGCCCGATGCGGGACTCGATCCCGCGACTCCAGGATCATGACCTGAGCCGAAGGCAGTCGCTTAACCACTGAGCCACCCAGGCGCCCCTTACCAAACCTTTTTAAATGCATAAACTTTGACCCAGCAATTTCACTTCTAAGATTCTACCTAAAGTATTTGTTGGGCAATATATCCGTACAAAGGGTTCATTTTCACATTCTCTGTAACAGCAAGAAAACTAAAAATCTAAATATTCATCAATAAAGATAAAATGGAATATCCCGCAGTCACTAAAAAATAAGACAATATCTAATTCAATGGGAGGTAATATCACAATAAAGCTTATGTGTAAGAACTTAAATACATATACTTGACAAGAGTTAATGAAGAGGCTGCGTAGCAAATAAAGGGGAGGTTTAAACAGATTCTCATGCTTTCTCCTTTATTTCTGTGTTGTATAACTATTATGTATTCATGCTTTCGTTTTATAATACAAGCAAACGGCTTTTTTTTTTTTTTTTAAACGGCGGTATCTTGGTAGATCGATGGAGTGTAAAAAACATGGCTTTTATAATCAGATACTGGATTCAAATTTAGGTCTTACTAACAAACTGTGACTGTGGGTAAACTTCATTAATCTCTCTGGGCTTCAATTTTCTCATCCTGTAAGGCGGAATTAATCATAAACTACTAAAAGGTGAAGATGAAGAAATAAGTAAACCGTGGCTCTCAAGGGCGCTGAAGGCTAGTTCCCGACCCTTACTTTTCAGGTAGACTGCTACTGGAGTGGAAAGGGGCCAAAAGCAAAGAGGTAGATGATCAGCATATCCGGAAACTTTAAGTTAAAGGCATGGGAGTGTGCGGTTCACCGGTATTTAGTAACATGAACCTCAAGGAGGGGTGGAACCTTGGGATCGTAGCGCTAGGTGAGCTACAATAAGAGCCCCATCCGTCGCCACAGTCCGCTCCCCGCCAGTCTTCGTCGGAGAACACTGCGGCTCCGAGAGCAGCGAGAAGGGCGCGCACGCACCTGCTGCAGGGACCCGGAGACGCTGGAGGATGAGTCAGTGCTCCTCCGCTTCCGACGCTCGCTGCGCTCCACGCTGCTCCCTCCCCAGCAGCTGCCTCCACTCCCACCGCCGGTGACACTTCCACTGAAGCTGGTGTTCCCACAGCAGGTGACGCTCCCGCAGCCGCTGGTACTCCCGCAGCCGCTGGTGCTTCCACTGCCGCTACTGGCTAGGGCGGGCACCAAGTCCGGCGCCGTGAGCGCCACGGCCGCTTCCTGACCGCTTCGTTTGCGCCGCTTCTCCCGGGAAGACTTCTTCCCCGTCATGATCCCCCTGCTGCAACCATCCGGCAAAAGCCGGCCGTCTCTGAAGCTACCTAAACCCCGCAGCGGCGGCGGCTACGGACGGCGAGCGCTGGCGTCGCAGCTTGTGCGTCACTTCCGGCCTCGTCGCAGAGGCCGGGAGGCGTTCCTGGAGGGCGTGACTGGCACCAACCGTGCTTCCTTGCGAAAGGTGGAGGTTGGCTTGAGTTTGGTGGAGGGTTAGCAGGTTGTCTTGAACGTTAAGGTTTCTGTGCTTTTTTGCAAAGGACAGAAGGTGAAAGTTTACAGTAGCAGTTTGGCTTATTGATACTTCTTTTCAGATTTTGTCCTATACACATACGCAGTAAGCTATGGTGTAGTTTTTTTATTTGTCTTCCAGTGTTTGTTTATGACACTAAAATGTAACAGAACTTGGGGAAAATCTCATTAACATCATCAGCGGGGCACATTTTTTGAACTGTATTTTAGGGAGTTACACAGGAATAGGGTTTTGTGCTTCCTTGTTTTTCCCCATTAACACTAATTTTTAGGCATGTTTCCTTTTCACTTCTAAAGGCATTTGGGTCTAGTATTTCACCATATTTCTCTTAAATGCTGGCATTTAGGTTGTTGCCAGTCTTACATTTTACAATGTAAACAGCTATGAACAGCTTAAGAAAAAAAACTACATTATTTTCCTTATGGTATTTTGTCCCCCCAAAACAAATTGATCAGCACCTTCTTTTTCTTTTTTTTAAGATTTTATTTATTTATTTGAGAGAGTGAGCGAGAGAGCACACGAGCAGGGGCAGAAGGAGAGGGAGAAGCAGACTCCCCTGCTGAGCAGGGAGCGGGATGCATGCGGGTCTCCATACCAGGACCCTGGGATCATGACCTGAGCAGAAGGCAGACGCTTAACCGACTGATCCACCCAGGTGCATAGCACCTTATTTTTCTTGTCCTATTTAATCAGATTCCTTTGAGAAAGATTAAGCTAATTTAAAATGTCATCCATACACTGAAACCTTAAAATTTTTCTAATATATGATAATAGAGTTTTAACTTGCATTTTTAATTTTATTTTGATTCAAGTATAATTAATGTACAATGTTATATTAGTTTCATCTGTATTATGTAATGATTCAACAATTCTGTACATTTCCCAGTGCTCATTAAGATGCGTGTACTCTTAATTCCCTTTATTTATTTCACCTATACCACCACCCATCTCCCATTTGGCAACCACAAGTTTGTTATCTGTATTTAAGAGTCTTTGTTTGTCTCTGTTCTTTCCTTTGCTCATTTGCTTTGTTTATTACATTCCACATGTGAGTGAAATCATATGGTTTTTGTCTTTCTCTGACTGCCTTATTTCACTTAGCATTATACCCTCTCGATCCATTCATTTTGCTACAAATGACAAGATTTCATTCCTTTTTATAGCTGAATAATATCCCATTACATGTATATAATATATATGTATTATACATATATTTACCACATCTTCTTTATCCATTCATCTATCAGTGGACATTTGGGTTGCTTCTATATCTTGGCTATTGTAGATAATGCTGCAGTAAACATTGGGGTGCATATATATCCTTTGATTTACAATTTTGAATACTTTACCATTAGTTGGAACACTATTTCCTCATCATCAAGTGCTAATAAGTTTAACCATTTATCTACTGAAATCAGTGTGTTGACCTGATAAATGTACATAAATTATTTATGTTGGTGAGATGGGAGAAGGGAGCAGGGATAAAATACTGGCATATCAGTGTTTCTATTTTTTCTCTCTCCCTTCCTTCCTCAAAAATGCCTTTTCAGACTAGTTCTTGGTTTTCAAAGGAGAAGAAGATAAGGCTTAAAGGAGAGTTTAGGAGTGCACAGGATTGGTAAGGAAGTCCCAGGCCACTTTTAGAAAGAATTTGAGGCAAGAAATGCAGAAGAAAAGCAGCAGTGCATGAGGGCAACAAATGGAAGACAACTGAAGAGAATTTAGGGAGTATTTCTGGAGATTATTTATTTCCTGCATCGAGTGCATGAGGGACAAATAAAGGACTTAAGTGAGTTTTTGAAAATTGAGTATGTGTCATAGGTTTATCAGTGCTAGATTTTGTGGGCTGCTGTGTAGGATTTTGGAAACACAAGCCAGGTTTTAAAATCAGGATCAAGAATACATATTTTAAAAAATTGCCATCATGTGGCAAGGGTGGTCTCAGCAGGGGCTTTAGCCACAGAAGAAAAAAGATAGGGCCTGGGGCAACACTAGCTGAGTGATAGTAATCCTAAAATTACCACTTGAGGGACAGAAAAGCAATTTAAAAAAGAAACTTCCCTTCGACCACATTTCCTAACTGTCTCAGCCATTCAACAACTTTTAATAAGTGCATAAAACAAAACAGATGCAGGGGTAATTACAGCCCTGTGAAAACAGCTGTCTCTACCCCCTGGCTCCACCCTTAGTTTTGCCTTCTAAGGTAAATGCTGCGACGGAGCATATTGTGCTCTTGGAAGTTCTATATTGGCCTCATTAAGTATCTTACCTGAAAGGATTGAAAGTATTATGTTCATAGAGTAAGCACATAAAATTAATAACATGTAACATTTGTAACCTTGTTACGGAGTGAATTGTGTTCCCCAAAATTTATATGTTAAAGTCCTAACTCCAAATGTATCTGTACTTGGAGATAGGGCTTTTAAGGACATAATTAAAGTTAAATGAAGTCGGGGCGCCTGGGTGGCTCAGTCGTTAAGGGTCTGCTTTCGGCTCAGGTCATGATCCCAGGGTCCTGGGATCCAGCCCCACATCGGGCTCCCTGCTTCGCGGGAAGCCTGCTTCTTCCTCTCCCGCTCCCCCTGCTTGTGTTCCCTCTCTCGCTGTGTCTCTCTCTGTCAAATAAATAAAATCTTTAAAAATAAAAAAAAATAAAGTTATGAGGGTTGGAGCCCTAATCAGATAAAACTGGTGTCCTTATAAGAAGAAGAGATACTAAAGATCTCTCTCCCCCTGTCCCTGGTCTCCTTCTACACTTTCCCTTCTCCCCTCCACCCCCATCCCACTCCCCTGTGAGCACACAGAGGAAAGCTTAGTGTGAGAAGGGAACCAGCTGTCTAAAACCAGAAAGAGATGTCATCAGAGATCAACCCTGACAGCACCTTGATCTTGGACTCTCAGCCTCTAGAACTGTGAGAAAATACACTTCTGTAGTTTAATCCACCCAGTATGTGGTATTTTGTTATGGCAACTTGAGATGACTGATATAAACCTACGATGGTATGTATTAGCCTGGATAGTTGCATATTAATTACTGGCTGCAAATTTTTCCCTTATAAAATCAGTTGAGAAGCTTCTCGGTTTCCACCTCATTCTACAGCAAACTGACAAATAGTTCCCATATTTCTTTGGCTGGAGCAAGAAGCCAGGACACTGCCAACTAGATGGCTTAAGAATTTATCCATTTGGCAGATGAATCCCAGTCTTTGTCCACTCTTCCATATTCTTGTTCTAGAATACAAAGGCATTGTTTGACCACTGGTGATAGAGTACAGAATAGACAAAATCCACACCTTCGTTAACTTCTATTCTGGTAAGGAGAAGCAAACCAAAAAACCACACAATAGGAAGTGCTTCCATCCTCACTCCGGCATTCTGCGTTCTTCTTACTCTGCTTTATTTTTCTTCAGTGCTCTTAATACCACTACACATGCATTTGTTTGTCTGTCTCCTTTCACTTGAATGTAAGCTCCATGAAAGCAATGACTTTGTGTTACTCACTTCTCTATTCCCACTACCCAAGTGCCCTTAATAAAAAATTTCTCGGGCGCCTGGGTGGCTCAGTTGGTTAAGCGACTGCCTTCGGCTCAGGTCACGATCCTGGAGTCCCGGGATCGAGTCCCGCATCGGGGCAGGGAGCCTGCTTCTCCCTCTGACCCTCCCCCGTCTCATGCTCTCTCTATCTCATTCTCTCTCTCAAATAAATAAATAAAATCTTTAAAAAAAAATTTCTCACATAGTTGTTTTCTTAATAAAAATTTGTTGCATAAATGAGTGAATGAAACACAGTTTCAGATGGAGAACCAGATTTATCCAGGATTATATGACCTCACTAAATTATGGGAGTAAAAGTACCTAGTGAAATTAATGGCCAGAAATTTCTTTATTAAAGGAGGTCAGTAGGAGCTTTGCTGGGCATAGTTCAGTGCTCCTTCATCACATGGCAGAGAGACTTAGCTACAGGGACTCAGCTGCCGCTGTGACACCGGCAATCACACGGGCTTTGGAGCAATCGTTACAAGCAGCTTTCTAACAGAAACTAGACAATTCTACATGGGTCTCTGCCACGCAGAGAACAGGGAAAGGACTTTGACTCGTGGTTGAACAGGTCATAGACACATCACAAGGTTGGTTGGCTTAAAGCCAGAGAGATGCCATTGTCTCTTTAGGTTGAACCATATGAAATTGCCTTTTTTGGAGGTCAAAACTGATTGAATGTTGACAGTTTCATATGTTCAATATAATATTATAGAGATGAAGAGACCCAGCATTGAACATTGTTACAGACTTCAGCTCAGCAAACATTGTTACAGACCGCTTTTCTGTCCTGGAACAAATACGTGGGAGGGTGGACAGAGATCGGAGGTTTTTTGTTTTTTTTTTAAGATTTTATTTATTTATTTGACCGAGAGACACAGTGAGAAAGGGAATACAAGCAGGGGGAATGGGAGAGGGAGAAGCAGGCCTCCCGCAGAGCAGGGAGCCCGATGCGGGGCTCGATCCCAGGACCCTGAGATCATGACCAGAGCCAAAGGCAGACCCTTAACGACTGAGCCACCCAGGCGCCCCCAGAGATTGGAGTTTATATGCCCTTTTTATAAATGCTCTTCAGCAACTCACTGAGCATTCATCACAATCATCGGCCTGGGATATGTATGTACTAACGCTAGGGCCAATCAGTATTTCTTTGGAATTTATAGAGACACTAGGTGAGAAATTCAGTCTTCCACTTAAATGAACTGTAAGGAAATTATCTCTAGTTGTCATGTTCTCTGTCCTGTGAAGCTCAACAAGAGACACTTACTGAAACAAGACACAAAGTCCTGATACTGTCATTTTCATATCA